AAAAAATGTTCAGTGACACTTGTTAAAGATGGTAAGGCAGACTTTAGTTAGGACCAATGCAATAGATGTAGAGACCACTGCAATGGGGTCTTGTAGTAGGGGAGAGAGATTGAGCATGACTCTGAATACAGCAATGGAAAGTGGGAATTTATAACTAAGGAGCCTGGTGAGGGGCAGTGGATGGAAAATTACTAAGAGGAGACATCGGGTCAGGGGGGATCCTGGCTAAACTGACCTGACAGGATTCTTGCCAAAGGCAGGCCAGGGTGATCAGACACCAACTGGAGGACGATGGGCGATGAGGAGTTTGGTTAGATATCGAGGGTGATCAGACGTTGAGGGTGGGAGATTCTGGCTAAACTGACTTAGCAGGATTCTTGCTAAAATTGGACAATGCGGAGATGAACACAGAAGCCCCAAAGTCAGGGCCTAATTGAGAAGAGCTCAGAGGAGCCTGACCAAAGTCTGGTCAAAGAGACACTCTGTGTCAATCATTGACCCCTACAAGGGCTGATTTGAGCTTCCCACGTGCTCCTCAGAAAATGCATCATGTTCTCACTGGATTTCCCACGGACTTCCGGAAGCTCACAGACCCTCTCCCAAGACCCTGGGGTGAAAACTCGCTGTGGGGGTTTGTGAAAGGAGAGATGAGAAGTCAGCGGTCCCACCTGGATGCCCCCAGAGAGCCAGCTGCTGCTGTGGTCTATGAAAGGTGTGGGCATGGGAGGTGAGTCTGTGCACCAAGCTCCAACCTTTGAAGGTGATTCTCAAGACAGGGGCATTATGGGCAGGTCTGAGGTAGGATGTGATTCAGGCTTTGTTTTGAAAGGCCAGTAACAATGTTCTTGTGGTTGCCCTTGTGAGTGAAGAGTCCCTGCGTCCTTCCTCCCTGATTCTGGCTGGACCCCTGGACGGGCCTGGCCAGATGAGAGGTCTGGATGACAGACACAGGGGTGTGTTTTGGAGACAGCCCAACTCTCCTTTAGCTGGAGAATAACAAAGCTACCTTTCCTCTTTTATGTCTCCTTTGTAACAGTTGAGCTTTGTCATGTCAGTAATTGCAGGGTTTATTTTAGAAGCATTGTGAAACAGGAAGTGGCTGTGATTGCAGGCACTTGAGGTTCTTTGTTCCTGAATTGTTGTCTGTGCTTGTTATGGGGGAGACCTGTCCAAGGCCCCTAGGTCATTAGGCAGATGAATAATGGTCTGCAAGCCAGGTTATATATAAGCAGATTAACTAGGCTTGCTCACTAGCCTTCCTCCTGTCCTTCCCTCCCTCCCTCCTCTCCTTCCTTTCTTTTTCTTTCTTTCTTGACATATGGTCTATTTTCCATCACACCCTGCATCGTAACCCTGGGTTCTCAGAGTAAGTGAAGGAACCATTATACACATTAAATGATTTTGTCCCTTCCTGTTCTTCCTCACTTTTGTCCTAAGCTCCCTAGACCACTCCAGAACTACGTTGTCCAATATGGTAGCCACTGGCCACCTGTGGCTCTTTAAATTTAAATTTATATTAGTGATGTGAATGACATTAAAGTTTCACTTCCTCTTTCACATCAGCCACATTTCAAGTGCTCAATAGCCACATGTGGTTAGTGACTACTGTATCAGACAGTGCAGCTGTAAAACATTTCTATCACCACAGAGAATTCTATTGACCCTTGCCACTCTAGAGATTAAGGGCAATTGTTCACCCATTGGGCCCCAAATGCTGGAGAAAATACGTTGGCACAAGATAGATTTATTTTTCATAAATTGATCAATCCTTAATCTTTCATACTTTATCAAATAACATTGCTCCTGTTTTTATCATGAAGTGGAGTCTAAAGGGGCCCCATTTTCTTACCTCTATTCAATTCAGCAAAGAGTATGTCAAAGAAAAATTGCACCAGCAAGCGTTAAACAGTCAAAGAAGACTTTACTCAAGACTATTGTAATAGGGGAGAGATTGAACTCAACTCTGAATATAACAGGGGCAGCAGGGGATCTATAGCCAATGGGCAGGGTGAGGGAGAGGATGGAAAATGACTAAGAGGAACTTGTTTGGGTATCAATAGTGGGAGGATTCTGGATGAAATGGGCTCATCAGGCCAAGGATGAAGCCTAGTCAAGAAGAGAGTTTAGAGGACCCTGACTAGAGTTTGGTCAAGGAGAGAGTCCTAACGTTTGATAGGCTCTGTTACAAACTGAAGGGTAAGCCCAAGAGGACTCTATAGTCTAGGTAGAAATGAAGGCCCCTCCACAGGTTCTCTCGGACTAGTTTCATGCCTGGCAGCAGCATGTCACCTGCTGTTCAGAAGTGCTCTGCTCACGTGTCTTTCTCCCCACCAGGTGTGTGCCTCTAGGACAGCCGCCTGACTTGGGACAACCAGAGCCAGTAGGAGGTCATGTTCACTGGAGGAATAACGGGGACGATTAGCCAGGAACTCAGAGGAGGGAGGTCTAGGGGCTCACAGAGTGGGAAGGGGTTTAGGGGGTGTGTCAGGTTAGGTCTTGAAAGATGGCTTAAATTTGGGTAATGGGAAAGGCAGGAGGACGTCGTTGATGGAGCCAGAAGAAGGAGGCAATTTCTCTGTCTCCTCTCCTTCACACCGCCATCTGGCCAGGACTCTGGTCTAGGTTTGGAGGACTTCAAGGATGATGCTGTGAACAAATATTTATTAGTTAAACAGATATTTGTTGGGGACATCTCATGTGGCAACAAGTACATTAGTACAGTAGTCTCCAGAGGAGTAGAGAAATGAATAAGATGTAGTTCCTTCCCTTGAGGAGCTAGACCAGTTGGGGAGAGAAATCTAAAACAAACCCCAGTATGGTGTGAATAAACGCTTTAACAGAGTATGCCCTGTCCACGGAGGAACGCGAGAAAGAGCAAGGAAAGGTTTAAGGAGAGGAGAGCTTGAGCAAGATCTCAAAAGATAGGAGAGATTCTCCAGCTTTGAGGGAGGCATTTGAGGCAAAAGCAGGGGACTGTGTGTTAGGAGCATGGCAGACAGTCCAGCATGGCCGGGAAGGAAGGATCAAAGCTGCCTGCAGGGGTGGGGCTCCACCAGAGGCTCCTGTTTGCTGGGATCTGGAAGTCCCTGCTGACACCAGAACATCCCTCTGGGCTTTGAATCCTAAGCACATGGTTGGCATCTGGAAAGACAGGAGAGGAAGGCTGGAAGGGCATGGGGTCCCGTGACCCTTGGATTTTGCATGTCTCCATTTGGGCGGTTGATCGTAGGGTGCCTTAAGTGTTCCCAGGTCGTCTCCCTGCTAGGGCATGAGACTCCCGAGGACAAAGTCCTTGTTTTATTCATTTTGCTCTTGGTTCGCAACAGACGCTCCAAAAACAATGAAAAATTAGAGGGAGAAGCTGCTGCTCTTCCAACATTAGCCTCCAGGTGGTGCTGTTCCGCCTCCTGGGTTTCTGCAAGGTGTCTAGAATCCATTTTGTGTTGAAATATTTCTCCCCATTCCATCCTGTGTCTGCTCTGGGGAAAGACCAGGACAGGAATAATTTTGGTGTGGCAGAAGCAGCAGTGTCTCTTTGGGCCTTTTCTTAGTACATCCTGCCTCATGTGTGACTTCTGTTTTCCATTTGTCCTTTTTGGAACCCAAGTAGCAGCATAGGTGCATGGAGAGGCTTTCCAACCAAGTGCTGGGGACAGCTGCTGCTTCTGGGCTCGCACATGGGCAACAGTGCTGATAAAACACTTTCTTTACCCAGATGTTTTTGTACATGTTTTTTAAACCAGTACAGTCATGTGTCGCTTAACAAAGGGACGTGTTCAGAGAAATGCATCGTTAGGCAGTTTTGTCGTGTGAACATCATAGAGCATACTTACACGCACCTGGATGGTATAGCTTACCACACACCTAGGCTACGTGGTACTAATCTTATGGGACCACCATTGAATATGTGGTCCGTCGTTACTGAAACGCCCTTATGTGGCACATGACTACATTTTGCTGGAGGAACCAGACAATGAAAAAGGATTAACCATTCACTGGCACTCCCCAACACTCAGTGCAAATCCTGTAGACACTCTGGCAGCAATGAAGTTCTGCCTTCTGCCTAAGTGTGCTCGATAAACCACCTGTTTCTTTCAGGGTTTTAAGGAAGAGTAAAGGAATTGGCCACTGAATCTTCCTACAACCAGTGAGCTGCTGCTAAGACTTTTGAGACCTCACACAAAGCATACACCATTTTGAGATTCATTTTTCCACGTGCAGTAGTTGTCTCTTCTGGATCAAAATGACTGGGCTAGCCGCTGTGTAGACTCCATGTCGTGCACCCCAGAACCTTGCCGCAGAGGCAGGAGTCGGCCTGGAGCAGAGAGAAGAGCCGTGTAGCACAGGCTCCTACACTTATGTAGCACCCAAAAGTGGGCTGTGGGAGCTGAGCGGCCAGGGTGCAGGGGGGATAAGCACCATGGGCATCACATTTTGAGAGAGGAAGCCTCTTTTCCTGATAACTGTACTCGGTCAAGAGCCCTTCACATCTTTGAGGGGATTTGTCTCCTCTCACCACAATGGACGGCACTGATTAGCTAGTTTCAGAATTCTCATTTTCAGTGCTGTTTGTGATTTCTCAGCTTATAAGTAGAGACCTAGCCCTTAGGATTTGGGCGTGAAAGTGGATTAGTCCGTCTGTTCATATGTGCAGCCATCCTGTCTGCCACTCCCCGTGGGTCCAGGAACTTGGGTAGGAGTTTCATGTTGGCTGCAAAAAGAGGAAGCAGAGATGATAGTAGGATGGGGAGACACCACTTAGACATTAAACCAGAGGATTCGAAATGCACACGATTAAACAAGGCAGAACCAATTGCACATGCCAGGAGTGAGGGGCTGAAGAGGTAAGGAGGGTCAGTCAAGGGCAGCAGCGCAGTTGGAGGAAACAGTCGGGACGTGTGTTTGCTTGTGCACCTAACAAGGAGGGTGTTCAGTGGGCAGGTGGTGGGGGATCTAGGCCTCTCCTTCTTGCTTTGTGGTTCACCTTGACGCTCCCCCAGCTGCGAACCTCAGCAGCCGTGGGGACTCCACGCTGCTCCAGGTGGACCTGGCAGGGGCCCTTGTGGCCAGCGGCCCGAGTCGTCCTGGAAGAGAAGAGCACATTGTGGTGGAGGTGACCCAGGTCGACGCTCCAGGCTCCAGGTGGCGGCGGCCACAGCAGGTTACACTTATAAGTTATTTGAAAGGAATTGTAAAAACGCATTTCATCTCTTCATCAATCGAGTTTCCTTTGAATGAATTTGATGGGGGAGCATAAGGCAATGACACTGTGATTAGGCAAGTCCTTATCTTTAGCTTTGTCTTTGAGATTCTCTTTACTCCTTTTCTCTGAGTCAATTTATAAAACTCTCGCCATTTCAGTAAAATCAGGCTTGCGAGTTTTTTTATTCAGAATGATTTTACGGGGCAATTCAGGGAAACGTTATGTATTTGAAAGTAGTTTTTTGTTGTTAAAGTGCGGTTGAACCTGGGCCTTTCCTCATGGACCGGAAGACGCTCCAGCTGCGTGTTCCCTGGGGTTTCTGGACGCTTGGCTGAGACTGGCCTTAGTTTCCCTGAGCTTCAGCTTCCAGAGTGATAGGCCCTGTGCTCAGTTCCTGTCTTGAGACTCAGTTCCCGTCCTGCGAAGGCAGGGAGAGGCAGCAGTGGTGTTGTCACCACGGCCCAGAGCCCAGACAAGGCCCGGCCCCTCTCTGTGCACCCTGACCCATCCCCGGAGTCCTGGCCTCAGTGACGTCCCTGGGTTGTGATGCTGGCTGCTGTATGAAGTAATATCCCTAGTTCATAGGTTTTTCCTGTTGTAACCAATAGAAGAAAACCGTGCTGGTGCACAAGGCTGTGTCATCTAAAATGGAGCATCTGTTGGGTTACCACACCCCTCACATTTTCCTGCCATGCAGAGCAGGCTCCACAGAGCACAGGTCTCACTTATGAACAAAGCTGCAGTTTCATGCATGGTGGCCGATGCAGCACTGATGTTTTAAACCCATTGCCCTGTCCGTGGTCTTAGCACGCAGACTTGGCTTCCCCACGTGCAGTGCACAGCCCACTGCCAAGAGCTCCTCCTCAGTAAGATGAGGTGGGAGCACTTCTGTCTGCTTGTCTGTGAGCCTTGTGTAGAGGAGGGCATGACCTTTCGCAGCCTGCTGGCGTAGCTGCCTGCCCACGGGGTGGTATGGAGCTTCCCTGCTCCAGTGACCACACACAAATCCAGCTCCAGAAACATGAACACAGGAGATCTTTATTAAAGGATTTTTTCCGATACGTTTTTTCCTAACACCAAAGTGTTTTAAGAGAACTTATGGTGTCTCATTCATGCTTTGATCAATTTCAGAGTTCCTATTTTCAATTTCCTTTGTGGTTTGTGGGCGACAAGACTCTTGTCCTCCCATCAAAAGTTCCTGGGCCCCTTGGCCAGGTCACCCACCTCTGCCCTGACTAACCCTCCCTCTCTGCTCATAACTGGCCCCCTCAGCTGGTTTCTCCACTACCCTGCTCTCCATGAGAACATGGGGGGCGGGTTTGCCTGCAGCAAAGGAAGCTTTGTCCTCATGTCCTCCCTCCCATGGGCCCCTGTGACACAGGTGTGGAGTTTCCTGCCTCCAGTTTGGAGCAGGAAGTAGTTCTAAGCAAGCATTTCTCTTTAGTTGCCTCAGAGGCCTCAGGAGACTCCAAGTCTCCAGTAACGTGCGATGATTTCCTTGTCTCATAATCAATCTGTGTTTACTTCTATACCTTCATACACTAATTCTGTATTCATGCTTCTGTATTCTTTGTTAAGCAAGCCTCCAAGTTGTGGAAATGGGAGGGATGTGGGAGCCATGTAAGAGACCTTGCTGTTCCTCTTTCTCCTTTCTTATTCCAAACCAGCACCTACACTGAATAGTGCCAGATCCCAGCTTACTTTCAGGCTAAAAGCCTTACCACGGTTTTATGACTTTTACAGGTCGCTCATAATTGGACAGTATTTTTAAATCCGAGAAGAAGTGAGCGCTCTGTGGTGAGCAGGACCTTTGAGGTACTAAGCAGGTGAGTCTCAGGTGAGGAGGTCTTGGGGGAGGGTCCTCTGGGACACGCTCACCTAAAGAAGTTTGACCTGTGGGACTCCGATTTTTGGCATATAGCTGGATCAGTTACGTGGCTTGGATGAGTCGCTCTTCCTGTGTAGGCAATGAACATGAACGACGTGGGAGGGCATCTTAACCACACGTATCAGGAAATAAGAGGGTTGATTGCAGGGTCCATTTTGAAGCAAATGGTATCTTATAGCTGATGCTTTAATTTCATTAATATCATGAAGCTATACAATGGGCATTCTAGGAAATTTTAGTATCCTTTCTCTTTTTTCTCTAATTAATGCCACTCCATATTAAGTCTGTACTCTTGGTTATCATATGAGTTTGCTAGGCCTGCCATAACAAATAGCACAGACTGAGTGACTTAAACAATAGAAATTTATTTCCTCAAGGTGTCAGCAGGGTTCGTCTCTTCTGAGGACTCTCTCTTTGGCGTGTAGGTGGCCATCTTCTCGCTGTTTTCACATGGTCTTCCCTCTGTACATGTCTGTGTCCCAATCTCCTCTTCTTATAAGGACATGAGTCAGATTGGATTAAGGCCACCCTAATGGCCTCATTTTAACTTAATCATCTCTGTAAAGACCCTATCTCCAAGTACAGTCACATTCTGAAGTCCTGAGTGTTAGGATGCAAACATATGAATTTGGAGGGGGCACAATTCAGGTCAGAACAGTTATTGACTGAACTTTCAGGAAAGTGCTGTAGTGTCAGCATGCCACATACTGTTGATTACTTGCATGCTTCTTGTTCCTGGTGCTTTTTCCCACTATCGATGACAACCTGTCTACATATTCTCAGGTTGCACGTGGCCCTTTTCTGAATCTTTCACATGTGAGAATAGCTGGCTTTGCTATTTGTTAGCAGGCAAAGCTGTCAGGTGTGTGGTGAGGAGGACGAGAGAAAATTAAATGGCTAGAACCAATGTGAACATCCCTGCTCCCTGTTAATTGTTGGAGTGGCACCTGCAGTGAGGCGGCTACTTCCTGATGGGGGCTGAGGAGCCTACATCAAATGGGCCTGGCCGCGAGTCGGGGAGCGTCTCACACTGTTCACCTGTGCTCAGAGTGCCTCGCCTGCCAGGTCAGGCATTGGGCTCAGTCACTCTGAGGTCAGTTTGGGCTCTGGTTATGGCCACGGATGACTTGTGTTGGGAAGGACACCAGGGTAGCAGGCACTAATTGTTGATGTAGGTCTGTTTCCCTTACCAGCAGTAAAACTTTTGCTTCATTCTGCAGAGAGACCATTTTCATCAGCATTCGAGCCTCCCTGCAGCAGACCCCGGCTGTTCCTCTTTTGATGGCTCATCAGTACCTCCGTGCAAGCGTGGAAACACAAGTGACCATTGCTGCGGTCATCCTCGCTGGGGTCTATGTGCTGATTATATTCGAGGTAACTTGCATGCTTGCTCTCCTTGATTCATCTGCACCCACAAGTAAGTGTCTTTTAACTTGTTGGGTGCTCTGGCTGGGCTCAGTCCTGCTTCTTAATCACACTGCAATAGTGTCTTTCCTAAAACGTAACATTTCTCTCATTCTGGGTGGAAAATTGATTCGTACTGGAATATTTGTTGAATCTTGGCAACTGACATATGCAAGCTGAGTTTTGGCAGGCATTGGTAAAAGTTACCTGAGAAAACTGAATATGCACGGGATTTTGTCACCGTCACTCAAAGTGTGACCCTGTGGGGACAAGTGTTGAGCCTCTCTGAGGTGCAGGGTCTTCTTCTGTAAGACGGGCGCGTTCACAGGTCCCCTACCTGCTTCATAGGATTGCGTACATGATGGGGACTCGGGAGACCTTGGGGGACGTGTGGGGAAGGATTATCTGTTACATTTTATCAATTCAGCTAATGGGCCTTTTCACAAATGATCTCATGTCCTATAAATTCAGTGTTTCTGGGAAACGTTAAGTGTGGCTCTAACTTTAATAGCACGAAGCCAAGTGCAGACCCTCCCTGGGCTGGGCAGATCCATCATTGGTTTAATTGTGAAACCAGATTTACAGCAACACATTGACGGGAGTGTTGGCTCCAGTAGGTTGAGCCCAGAAGGTCAGTAGAGGATGTGGCTCTGAAGGGGTATTTCTTCTCAAGCTTGGGATAGGGATGAGAAATGCCTTGGAGCTGTCAGTGGCCAGGAAAGTTCCAGAAGTTTGCCTGCAGTTGTCTAGTCTGCCTGAGGAGGAATGTTGGCTCTAGTAAGCTGAGCCCCCGCTTGTCCCACAAGGTCCACTCATTGGTTTAGTTGTTGCATCTCTTATGTCTCTTATTCTAGAGCAGCTCTATTCTCTCCATTGTTTTTCTGTTTTCTTTTCAGTCCATATTATCACTGTTCTGGGGTTCCCATGACGACCCACATGCTCTGTGGTTTTCTAGAAGGACTCACAGACCCAGAGGAAGCTGTGCTCTGGGCTGTGGTTTATTACTGTGACCAGCAATGGGAGAAGACGCATGAGGCAGAGTCTGGAGGAGTCCAGGAGCAGGCTTCTGGAAGGTCTCGTCTCCCGGAAGGGACACATGGGACATGTCTCTTCTTCCAGCAGCACTGTTTCTGTCCAGGGCAGCCTACTCGAGACTCAGAGCTCAAGGTTTTGTCAGGGGCTTATCATATAGGCACCCTTAAGCCCACCAAAGTCCCAGCCTCCCAGAAGGAAAGCAGGTGTTAAAACCATAAGTCACATATTTATACAAACAGTCTAGGTGTGCTGGTACAGCAGAATGCAGTGCTCCAGGCCCACAGAATAGCCTTATCACTTGGTAACATAGGGAACATTCCAAAAGCCAAGTACCCAGATACCAGCCAAGGGCCAGCCCTGGAGCAGGCTCTTCTAAAGGTCCTTCTAGTGATGGCAACCTCAGGCCTGCAGGTTGTCTTGACTGCACCACCATCTAGTTGACAATCCTATTCTGTTGTTCTGTGGAGTATCCTGCACCTTGGATTGGGCTGATGGGTTCCCCATGGGATTAATTTGTAACTCGATCCTCTCCGTTTCCTACAGACCACAATTTGGGTCTGAAGCCTTCAGGTTCAATTTTGGGGCCCACGTACTTTATGGGCATGCTGGGAGTTTGAATTGCATCGAGGAGGAGGAGCGTGATGTCTGATGTCTCCCTTTCAGGGATGCTGAGATTGCTCAGTGAATTTAGGTGGCAGCAGCCTGGCCCATTTATTGTCAAGCTCCCTGTTACCTTTGCTCCTAAGGGTTTTAATTCCCGCCAGGGACCATTGCCTGACTCAGTTATTTCATCAGCATTTGCAATAAACTCTCTAATTCTGCCATTCCATCTGCATTTATAAATGAGTCATTCTGTATTAAAGAGCTTTCCCCCACTCAATTTCTTTAATGTGAAACACATTTCATGCCAGAAATACAAGATAAATTATTTTTCTTTAGTTGTTGGTTTTCGTAGTAATGAGTTGTTGCCTTAGCAACTTCCAGTGGTTGTACACTGAATTTATTTCGTGTCTCTCTCCTGTTTTTCTGAATATCGTTTTGAACTTATGGATTTAATAAATTCAATGTGCTTTAATCAGTTACAGTCACTAGTAATCAAAAAAATATAGTCCAATGACAATTTATTTTTGAAAAGACTTCTCTGTTATTCTAAGGTTGGTTTGTCTTTTTTTTGTATAATTGTACAACTTTTGGAGATATGTAATTTGTAAGTATTTATTACTCTTTCATTAATTAATGGCCATTCAGAAAAAAAACACTTTCCCTCCCTCCCAACAGCCATCCTGAGGTTATAAAAGTCCTGTATAGAGGCCAATTCAACATGGCTTCTACCCAGTAGAAACCAAAGGTGGACAGGTGAGAAGAAACCAGATACACTGGTTCATTGATATTGGCTCATCGAGGGCACCCTCGGACTCCTTGTAAGTCGGTCAGGTGAACTGGTGCCCCTCAGGATAAGGCATCACCCCCCTGCTGCTCCGTATTATTATGTACTGGCTATATTATCTATTAAAAAACCATTTTTGTTTTGAAATAATTACAGAGTCACCAGAGTTGCAAAGAAATGTACAGGGAAGTCCTGTGCACCCTTCCCCAGCCTCCCTCGGTGTTAACATGTTATTACACAACGATGGTTCCACATTAAGACCAAGAAATTGACATTGGTACAATCCATAGAGTTTATTCAGATTTCAGTCATTATACATACACGCATTTGTGTGTGTGTGTGTGTGTGTGTGTGTGTGTGTGTGTCTATGGCCCCATCTAATTTTGTATGTTTAGCCTTGTGTAACCAGCACCATAGTAAAGATACCCAACTGTACCATCACCACAGGCTCCCTGTGGTAGCCCTGTATAGCCACACCCATCCCCTCCCCCACCATCCCTAAGGCCTGGCCACTACTAATCTGTTCTCCTTCTCTACCATTATGTTATTTCACCAGTGCTTTATAATGAATAATGTAGTATGTATCCTTTTGAGATTGGCTTTATTCACTCGGTACAATTTCCTTGAGGTTCATCTAAATTGTTGCATATATCAGTAGTTTGTTCTTTTTTATTACTGAATAACATTTCATGGTGTAGATGGAGTGGTTTGTTTAAGCATTCATCCTTTGAAGGGTTAAAAAAATGTTTTCTTTCCGTGTGGGACTATTACAAATAAAGCTACTATGAACATTTAAAAATGTTTTTTTAATGTTGAGTTTTAAATGTTCTTTATATATTCTAGACATAAAGGCTTTGTTGGATATGTGGTTTGTAAATATTTTCTCTCAGTCTAGTTTATAAATTTTTCCTTCTGTAGATTGTGCTTTTGGTGTCAAGTTTAAGAACTCCTTGCGTAGACTTAGATCCCAAAGATTTTTTTCCTATGTTCCTTCCTAAAATTTTTATTTTTTACACTTTTTTTCCATTTTTACTTTTTAAAAAAGTTTTGCAGTTTTACTTTTTATGTTTAAGTCCATGATCCATTTTGAGTTAGTTTTTGTTTAAAGTGTGAAGTTTAGGGGGAGATTGGTTTTTTCACCTATGGATGTTCAATTGCTCCAGCACCATTTATTGAAAAGGTTATTGAAAGTTTCTTGAATTGCTTTTGCTTCTTTGTTAAAAGTTAATTGGGCATATTTATGTGGCTGAGTTCTTTATTCTGTTCCATTGATCTATGTGTCTGTTCTTCCACCAGTACCATCCTATCTTGATCATTGCAGATATATCATAAGTCTTGACATTGGGAAAAGGAATCCCCCCTTTTTAAAAAAAAAAAAAATTGTTTTGCCTATTTTATGGCCTTTCTCTTTCCGTATACATCTCAGAATGGCCTTGAAGTCCATGAACATGGTATGTCTCTCCGTCTAGTTAGGTCTTCTTCGATTTCTTTTATAATTTTTCATCACATAGATCATGTACATGTTTTGTTAAATTTATAGCTAAGTATTTCCTTTTCTTTGGAGCAATTGTAGATGATATTGTGTTTTTATTTTGGTTTCCATTTTTTTCATTGTCAGTATACATAAATGCAATTGATTTTCGTATGTTGATCTTGTATTCTGTTACTTTATTGTTAGTAACACTACTAAGAATATTTTTACTTTACTTATTATTTCTTGGAGTTTTTTTGGTAGATTCGGTGGGATTTTTTATGTATATAATCATGTCATTTGCAATAGGGACAATTTTATTTCTTCTTTTCAAATCTGTATTCTTTAATTTTCTTTTTTATTGTGGTGGCTAAAATAGGAATGGTGAGATTGGATGTCCTTGCCTGTTCTTGATCTTAAAGGGAAAGCATTCAGTCTTTCACCATTAAGTATGATGTTAGCTGTACGTTTTGTAGATGCTGTTTATGAAATTGAGGAAGTTCTTTTCCTAGAGTACTGAGAGTTTTTTACCATAATTGGGTGTTGAGTTTTGTCAGCAACTTTTTTGTGTCAATTGATTTTCTCCATTAGCTATTTGATATGGAGGATTACATTGATTTATTTTAGAATATTGGCCCAGCCTTGCATACCTGGAATGACTCTCTGTTTTCTAATGTGAGTATTTATTGCTATAATTTTCCCTCTCAACATTTCTTTAGTTGCATCCTACAGATTTTGATATGTTGCATTTTCAGTTTTATTTAGTTCTATTTTTTAAATCTCCTTGAGACTTCCTCGTTGACCCAGAGATTATTTAGAAGTGTGTTTTTAAATTTCCAAATGTTTAGAGATTTTCCTGTTGCCTTTGTGTTACTGAATTATAGTTTGATTCACTTGTGACCAGAGAACTTACATTCTATGACGTCAATTCTTTAGATTTGTTGACATTTTTTTTGCCCCAGGTTTATGGTCTATGATGTGAATGTAGTGTACGTTGGTGAATATGGTGTATGTTGGTGAATATGGTCTGTCTTGGTGAATACTTGCTGCTGCCAGCTGCTCTCCATACACGTTGTA